CAGCTCTGTGCTTAAGGGAAAACGCACACGTCGGAGAGCGGAGCGCAAGTGGAGAAAGACCAAATCCATTGCTGACCGTGCTGCATACTAAGCCACAAAGCAAGCCATGAATGACATTTTGACTGAAGCTAAATCGCAGTTCTTCAGAAACTCACTGGTCAACTCTAATCCAAAACAGGCTTTCCTGGTTATTAACGAGTTGACGGCTGCACCCCGACATACACCGGCAATATCGGACACACCCTGTACCCTTGCCAACGATTTCAGCAACTTTTTCACTGAAAAAGTCAAAAGCATTCGGGCGCTCATAAATGACCTTCATGTACAGTCCCCTTCAACTGAAGATACAATTCTGCACCCGGACTGCACCATATCAGAATTTCATCCCATCTCTGAGAAAGATCTTGGTGAACTCATAAGTCAGACTGCCACAAAGTCCTGCCAGTTAGATCCCACCCCAACCTGGCTTCTCAAACAGCACATCAAAATCCTACTTCTAACACTGACTGAAATCGTGAACGCATCCCTCTCATCCGGGAATTTTCCTGAGGCACTTCGAGTCGGTATGATCATGCCGATCTTAAAGAAGCCTTCTCTTGATAAAGATGAACTTTGGAACTACCGACCAGTGTCCAACCTTCGCTACCTCGCTAAGCTCATCGAAAAGGTCGTCTGCCTGCAACTCAAGCAGCACATCAACACTCATGCCCTTGCCGATCCCCTTCAGTATGCCTACAAAGCTGGCCACAGCACAGAGACTGCATTGCTTTGTGTTCAAAATGACATTTTGAAAACTCTTGATAATAACAATGCTATGTTCTTAGTAATGCTTGATTTGTCTGCTGCATTTGACACTCTTGATCATGGCAGTTTGGCATAACACATACATGTACTGCTCTCAAGTGGTGTGCCTCCTACTTCAAAAATAGAAGGAGTTATGTCACCGTAGCAGGGGTCGACTCAGATGAGAGCCATATCCATTTTGGCGTCCCTCAAGGGTCAGTCCTTGGCCCGCTCGCTTTCACCATGTACCTGAGTCCTCTTGGTGATGTCCTGCACCGACATGATGTGAAATACCACATATATGCAGACGACATCCAGATTTATCTCGATTTCAATCCATCCAAACCGAACGACGCAGCTTGTGCCCTTTTCAGATTGTCAAGTTGCATCACCGATGTGCAGAATTGGTTGGTAACAAACAAACTCAAGTTAAATGAGGATAAAACTGAATTTTTCATTGCCCCATTTTCTCATCATCATCAGAAACACTTAACCGACATAACTCTGCAGATAGGTATAAACACAACAATCAAACCATCTCAGACAGTCCGAAACTTGGGTGTTGTTTTCGACAGTTCCATGACAATGAGCAAACACGTTCATGTAGCAAACATATGCAAATCTATCAACTACCACAACAGGAACATATCCAAGATTCGTAAATACATAGACACAAACACATGCCACGCCGCTGTCCGAGCACTTGTACTATCCAGACTCGATTACTGCAACTCTCTTCTCAATGGTATTCATCAGTATGAGGTTGATCGACTCCAACGGCTTCAAAACAATGTTGCTCGTATCACATTATCTCAACCCAAATACACACATGCCTCTCCACTCCTTCAACAATTACATTGGTTACCAGTTAGACAATGCATCAACTTCAAAACAGCAGTTTTCATGCACAAAGCACTTCATAACACAATGCCGCAGTACATAATGGGATCACTCAACCTTATGCACCCAGCCGTAGTGGCCTCCGCTCCAGTAACAACCTTAGAGTTCCACGCACATTCAAAAAGGCAGGGGACAGGGCCTTCTCAGTGTCTGGTCCCCGATGCTGGAATTCCTTGTCACACAACATCCGCAACATCAGTTCTCTTGACAACTTTAAGGGCAGACTGAAAACTGATCTGTTCTCTCCACATAATCTGTAACTTGTCTTCTGGAATTGTCCTTAGTCGCGCATTGATACTTGCGAACATGCGCACTATAAATCGTGTTATTATTTTTATTATTATTATTATAAACTTTAGTTTTTCGAAATTATTCTTCAGAATAACCTTTGAGTTTGTTTTTTGGTGGGGGACCTAACGGTACTGTCAGTGGGATCTGTTTTTTTTTTTATTGTTGGGGGGGGGGGGGGGGAGAGCTGTTGTTTGTTGACATGGTTGAGGGCATCGTTTAAACTTCATTCTTCGGAATAACCTCTGTTTTGTTTTTTGTGGGGTACCTTTTTATCGTTAGCGACAGAGTGAATTTCTCTCTTTTTGGAAGTTGTGATGGCTCTGAAAAGAGCTGTTTGGTTTATGATGCTGCCGGCGTGTTGTTTTTACTTTTGGAAAAAAATTGTGATTTTCCTCTGGATGCTCGTCCCATGCTGCTCCTCTGATAGGTACATGTAGTTCATGATGCCAGCTGCGTTGTGCTAGATGGAGTACGATAAACGTATCGCCTCTTGGGAAGAATCCCCACATTTTTTTCTAATACATTTTTTAATAGCCACAAGCCAACAATCATGACAATAGGGAACAGCTACGTACCCGATGTTCGGGCGGCAACACTGTAGGCTATTTCTTACAATGTCTCCCGAGCGTCCCCTATTGTCTGTTTATAATAATTTTTTAAAAACTTGGCGGCACGGTGCCGCAGTCGAGAGCCTGGTCATGCTAAGGAAAACCGCAGTGGGGGATTAGAGACTAGACGCAGGCACTGATTATCATCGTCCTATTGAATTTATTTAAGATTGGCGAGATAAAATAACGTTGGGTTGAAGTCCTTACAAAGGTACATTGATGGGTGAAGCTTAGGTGCTTTGCCTGAATGGAAGAGAGGAGCATGATGCCTGTATCAGGACAAAAGATTTGTTGTTGGCAAACTGCAGTGTCCGTAGTTTTGAAAAAATGTCGTTGTAAATGAGTGTCCGTGCCCTTAATAACCAAATATTTTCCCGAAGTAATTTACACAAATTGATCAGGACTGGGAGAATGTGCTCGTTACATCTGGGATATCGTTATGACCGAGCTCGTTATCAGGAGAGTTGACTGTAACTTGAAAACGGAAGCATTTTACTGCAAACAAACAAATCATGGAAACATTTTGAGAGGAATGCCAAATACAAAAACAGCATGATGACATCATCGCTCGAAAAGGTGACCTCTAGCGATTCATCAAATAAAGTTTAGTCAGGCAGCTTAGGCCAGCTTTTGGAATGGATGTGGACATTCCGGACAAAAGCGCCAAATTTTTCATACATGCTCCTTATTGCCTTAGCTTTCAATTTTTGATAGGAACCAACTTATCCAATAACAATATGGCAGCCATCTTCGATTTTAAAGATGGCTGCCATTGAAAACCTATTTTTACCCATATCTCATCTTCTAAGCCACTTAGGATTAAAGTTTTGGTGTCTAAACATACATTTTCAGGGTCAAGGAATGCAACTGTACCATTTGGGATAGTATCAAATGGTTTGTTTGTCCAGATACAGTATTGTTGCCATCTTATTTTTGAAGATGGCCGCAGGCATTTAAAACTACATGTATTGCATCTTTAAGCCATTTTAACATTGAAATCTTAGTGTCTAAACATACATTTTTAGGGTCAAAGAACGCAACTGAACCATTTGGGTTAGTGCTAAATGGTTAATTTGTCCAGATACATTTGTGTCCACTATACCATTTATGACAGTGTCAAATGTTCAGCTTGTACACTATTGTGGCCATTTTTTCAAAGAAAACCAAGCGTACATGTACATCCCTTTAACTCTAACGTACCTGAATCCATCAAAATCCATCCCCCTGTTTCGGGGGATTTCGGCGGATTCAGGATACCTCCATATTGCACAAACTGGGGGATTTTGATGGATTCAGGATTGTACGCCTAGCAGAACTGCAGGATTTTGATGGATTCAGGATACCTCCATATTGAGCTGCTGGGGGACTTTGGTGGATTCAGGATCTCAACAGAAAAACTCTTTGGCTATTTTTGTGGTCAAGTAAATACTGCTTGTAGCCCTGCCAGGTCTGTCACATGCTGTACAAAAATGTATGTACTGGGTAGTTGAGAGCTTGTGACTGCGGCTTATTAGGCTCAGCATATAAACAATGGATTATGTAAATAACCCATCAAGACAAAGCAATGCTGGGGTCAGACAATGGCTCACTGAAGTAGCCCTTCCAGACAATGCAAACATCATAGTATAGTATTACCCACAGCCCGAGTTGAAAGGAAAAACAACCCACATCATATCCACCAGCAGTTGAACCATGCATTGGTGTATTTTGATGGATCCTATGCAACAACACACATCACAATTTTCATGCGAGCGTGGTATCCTGAATCCGTCAAAATCCACCAGAAATTTAGGTGATGGATTTTGAAGACTCTATGGAAAAACATGCTGTATTATTTTTTTATGCCACCATGGTATCCTGAATCCGCCAGAATCCATCGAGACTTATGCTGGTGGACTTTGGCAGATTCAGGATACCTCCAGTATCTACACTGGGGGATTCTGATAGACTCAGGATACCAGCATTTTTTGCGTAACAAAATTGGTGGATTTCGGCGGATTCAGGATACTTTCTAGTAAAAGAGCCCCAGGAGTTACGGTTAAAAAATGGTGTGTCTAGATATATGCCATTGAAAAGTGCACCTTTCAGATAACGTCACATGACACATGATGACGTTTACATGACGTCACTTGGTGACATGTGACTTTGCTCCGAGGTCTTGCCTATGTTAACTTTGATTGATGTATGACAAAGATTAAAGTCCAAAGTGACGGACGAAAAATTGTTTACAAAATCTATGGGATTTGGGATAGTACTAATAGTAGAAGAAGAACTAAGGCTTAAATTCCACAACTTTGCAGAAAAGCCAAAAAGTCTTAACGAAAATAAAGGCTGTTTCGGCAAGTTGTTGAAACAACCAATTACAAATAATAAATTACTTTCTTCAAGGGACAATAATTTTATACTTATTAAGATTACCTGAAGGTGTTGCTGGTGATGAAACTGTGTCTGTCCTGGAATTACTGCCAATACCCTGATTTGCCTGGGCAAAGCGCTCCTTGGCCTTAAGTGCAGCCACCCGCTCTGACTTGAGCCTTTCTTCATTCTTAAGCAGCTCCACAATCTGCTTGGACTTCTCCCGCACATTGCGACCCACGTCCTGATTGTTGGTGTCATAGAAGGTGAAGTCTTTGAGTGTGTTGATGTCCACGATCTTCTCCTTGCACTGCTGAGCAACCCGCTCTGAGCCTGTCTTAATGATGTAGTCTAGCAGCACCAGGGCCTTGTAGACATGCCGCCAGTTCTTGCCCTTGTCATTAATGCGCCGCCAGATCATATCCATGATGTCAGTGAAGGCCACCACATTGTATGTCAGGTCAGCAATCTCTGACATGGTGGAGCTGGCGGGACCCCAAGGGTCGTTGGATGTTGCATCCCGCACCTTCCTCTGGGAGTCGTTGTAGTTTTTGATGACATTCTTGATTTTTCTGCTGGTAGACATCTTGGAGGGATTACATGTACCTCTCTATCATCTAGTCCCACACAATACACAAGATGTTTAGTTCTCGACCAATGTTTATGTTGCAGGGTTCACAAGATTGAAGAAGAATGCAATTATTTATGCAACAATTGCAAATCAGGCGTGCACATTGAGCTGCAAAAAAACCACAAAAATATTTAGGGTAATTTTATTTGAATATCTGATAAATGGAAAATTTATGAAACCTTCAAAACTAGCATCACAACCTCAAGTGATATCAAATAAAGGAGGACAACAAGACCTTCTTAAATATTTAGTTTTGAATTGTTTCAAAAACGTTTGATTGATTTCATGGTGTCAATGTCGTTGCCGAGTTAGCTGTTTCCCACTTATTTGGCGGGAACCAGTCTAGCTATTGTATGCGCTTTAGCAAGATCTTGGAGGACAAACACTTGCAGTTGACATTTGCCAATGCTTCATGCACTCTCTATTACCATTGATGTTACAGAAGAAAGGGGTAAATTTTGATAATTTTTTATGTTAAAATGTTGAGACATATTTTTGATAAGACAAAATATGGTCGTATTTTTCAGGTACACAACTCAACTCTCATAATTTTCAAGTTTTGCACTTCAAGCCGTAAAAAATAAATTTGAGTGTTTCTCTTGTGCCGGCACTTCCTGTGTACATCTAAATTGTATACAAGTACGCAATATAAGATAATAAATAACCAACCCAACCTGAGCAAACGTCTGGGTTCGATGGATAAAATAAATAATAATAATGATAATGTGTTTATATGGCGCTTAATACCAACGGTCTCAAAGTGCTATACAATTATTACCCCTGTTCATCAGGTCATGAGACCAGTTTTTGCAGCAGCTTGAGATCAGCGCATTCTGGTCTCTACCTTTACAGGTACATGAACCCATTTATACACCTGGTTGGGGAGAGGCAATTGTAGTAAAGTGTCTTGCCCAAGCACAAAGGCACCATGTTCCCGGTCAGGGTTCGAACCCTGTACCACGGCAGGTGAGTCGAACACCGTAACCATTGGACCACTGCACTCCACGGTGGACTGATGGCCAGATGACCCAGGTTTGAGCCCTGTGCAGCATTTTAATTTTGTCTTTTTCTCCTAAAAGTAAAACTTTTCTTCATTCATTATTTTAAATCGAATCCTACATTTACTTGCAGAATATGTCTTCTTATTTTTCTGATTCCTGGCTCTAGAGGATTGTTCTTTTAATTAAAGGGAAATGAAGCCTGAAATAGCAATAGGTCTAATTCCCATCTCCTGAATACAAAGTCACGACGACAATGTAACTTTTGTAAGTGTTGAACCAGCAAAGATTGTTCACAGTAAAAATGTCTACTTGTAAGTCCCAGAAAAACACTTTGTGCATCTTCAGTGCAGTGGTAAAACAACGAAAACAATCCACCAAATACGCCACCTCCGGATCTAGTACAGATCAAGAATTTAGATAGCACTAAGGTTAATTTACGATTTGGATGGAAAGCGCAATTTCCTTTTTTTTCACGAAAGCTCCCCTTGCGCTTGTGCATCTTACACAAATCAGATGACGTGCCAAAAAGATTTTGTGCACTCCGGCAGTTGTCATTTTGAGAGGATCCTTTGCTGCATAAAGGATTATAGGCTGTGATAGGTGAGTTTTTGCTTGTAATTTTAACAGAAATGGAAAAATCGGCAAAAAACGTGACCAGGCATCACCTGCAGTGTAGGAGGTCTCGAGGTCGATTTTCATGGCCTCGGCCTTGGCCTTGGAGTGCAAAACCTTGGCCTTGGCCTCAGAGCCTTCCGGCCTCGGCGAATCAGTCAAGGCCGGCTTGAGGCCGCCCACTTTCATGTGTTTTCTATTTCAATTAATTTTAATTTTTTACCGTATCAAACCTTCAAAAAGCTGCCACAGTGGGTTCCGTGAAACGAAATAAAATTTTAAGCAGATACATGTACGTACGAATGAATCGACTGGTAATGCCTTGCATGGAACGCATTACCAGTTGATGTACGTTTCAACGTTTCATGTACACTGTACGTAGCATCTTTGCCTTGTCTGCGCTATGGCCGTATCATATGCAGTGACAAAATCGCATCCGAGGATAAGGACTGCCAATCACAGGGCACCTCGATTGTTTATACCGAGTAGGAAATGTAACTGCCGCCGGGTCAGTATTACATTCTACATACACAGTACAGTCCGTAGACCAAGGGCTGTTGGATGTCCTACTCAGCACTTATAAGCAAGGCGCCCTGTGATTGGTAGCCTTTCACCAAGGCCATCGTGGCTTAACTTGCCCGCATTAGACAAAGCGGCGAAAAGGCGAAGCGACTGGAGATGGAGACCACACACGCAAGTGGTGAAGCCACGAGGGCATTTTCTAACTTGTCGAGAAATTTTTATGTTTTTCTTTATAATCTCAATTTTTGCTACCCCAATAGGGTAACAAAATTCCAACCAATCATCAGCCTTTTAGTGCGCGCGTGGCTACTACCCGGACGCATCGACGCGCCCGGATGCTTGCACAAAATAAAAAATAAAAAAATGCGAGTCTAGTTTTCCACGAGATCATGACCGCGTAATTGTTCTTACATTATCTTATTTTAATTCTACTTATAAAAGTATTTCAAGAAATTATTTGAGTGTATGAACTAATTTTTCATCTGAACTTACAGTCATTTGCTCTTACGTTTTTCTTACTCACCCTTCTTTTAAAAATGGAAGCAACTAGGCAAAATCCGCGTTGTGATTGGTTAACCTTCAGCACTCTTCTTATTTGCATAAAAACTATGAATAATTCAACAAAATCAAGTTGGGAAAGGCCTCGTGGCTTTGCCACTCGTGCGTGCTGACTTAATCTTTGCTCCAGTCGCTTTGGGTCTTGGCAACTTCGCCGCTCTAAGCCACGATGGCCTTGGCGAAAGGCTATGTGATTGGCTGCTCTGAATGATCCTTGGATGTGATTTTGTCCCCCGCATATGATACAGCCCTAAGCATGCGTGGCACGTGTTTACGTTAATGAACAGGGATTCTTTTGCACAAACCCAGAGTTGCACTGAATATTTTTTTTTCTTGTTTGACTTGATCTTTTTCTCATTTTGCATGGGTCCTCTGCTGCATAAATAATACATTCACTGTCATGGGTGAGTTTTTGCTTGAAACTTGAACGGGAATTGAAAATATTGGCCAAAAAAGCGAAAACCACCAGTTAAGTCATGGGCTTCATTCAAGCCCTACTACTAAAAATCTCCCCATGTCACGTCAATGACGTCATTAGCCAGTACGCTGAAAATTCATGTTCAATGTACACTAGGCCCTAGCCCTGAACGAGTGAACGTCACAAGTGGGCAAACTGGGCATTAGCCAAAGCGATAATGGAACAAGGAGCCAACCCGTTATTCACATGCATGCGTGCTCGCGCAACACAAAGCCTGTCTTCCTGCGCTTTAGCTTTCTACGTGCATGCATGATATCACTCAGTTCAGCAAAATGAACACAAACTCTCGGATCATCTGGTTTGCACGCAGTGGCCACGAAGAATTTGAAGAACATTACAAGAGGAAATACAGGGCAAGCTGGAAAATGTGTAATCCAGGCACTCCATAACTTAGCAAATTCAGATTAAAAAGATGTCAAAAATCCAACGAAATCTTACCCTTGAATATATTTTATTACATGTTTAAATAGCTGGCCTCGGAGGTTGTGGCCTAGGCCTTGGCCTCGGCGGTTGTGGCCTGGACTACAACACTGATCACCCGATCTGCATTCTATGGTTTATTTTCAGCTTTCCTGGCGAATCTCCCATGTCATGAGCCTAGAAAGCTGGAAATTTCAAGCTACTTCAAATATTAGGGAAAAATGTTGCAACCTGACGCCACTTCCGCAACTGTGTACAAAGTCTATGGTGAGTCAAGAAATTGTAATTGAAACTTGAAAATTGTAAAAAAGAAAAAAGTATTTCCTAACAAAATTAGAAATGTTTCTTAGTCCCAGATTCTGAGTGAATGTTTCTTAGCCCCATATCCTCGTCATTTTAGGGGGTCTGACGATACGCCTATGAAGAAAAAAGTGGTAATCCTTACTTTTAGGACCCCGTTCCTATATAAGGTTAAAAGGCTCACCAAAACAAGTGACTAAATGACACTCAAAAGTGACATTCTAGTATTTCTTGTCATTTATCTGAACAGCATAAGTTTCTTGAATATCAGCAGGTTTAATTTATTACCGTATGGGCTTTGACTACGGCGCAGATCGGAGCACGTATCATTAGCCAACATTACACAAAACAGTCGTTGATAAAGCACAACTTTTTTTTCTTCGATCGAGTGACGACGGTCACGTCACGTCAAGCGCCCTCATTCGTCAACTCGGTGCAAGGGACTGAGCAACACGGCAAACACATTGAGCGGTGAGTTTTCAGACTATTTTGCTGGTTTTTAAAAAAATTGTCGCTGTTTGGGAACAAAATAAGGGGTCTTATGGAATGTCATGAATGTGTAGATCTATCCAGGGTAGCTGTCTCTCTCTTTTGTATTCTCTTTACCGGTTTTTGGGGGGTCTTTTGTCCTCGCATGGGTATGTAAAATTTGCTACCGTGTATCCGTCACCAAAGTATGCCAAATCTGTGGAGCGTTAGTACGGAGGGTACCCTAGTTCAAGGCTCCACTCAGTAGAGCTAGGTTGGGATAGAGGGGAAAAGGACCATTTTGTGGAGGGAAAAAAGGACCATTTCGTGGAGGCCGCTTTTTAAGAGTCTCTTACGATCTCACTTTTAGTTTTACAACGTACATCTGTCTCCAGCGTTACATGTGAATTCCTGATGAGCTTGTTAAGCTGGAGTTACTCAAGCTACAGTTTTAGGATAATTATCACTTTCTGATGTGATAGGTCATTTAAGGGAAAAAATACTGATGGCCTGATATGGGAATTTTTCCGCCTACTACACTATCATGACTATGATTTCGGAAATCGCCGTACTTCTGGTGTCATACTAGGCCCGACAACCAATTTTCAGCAATGGTGAAAGGGTCTTGAAACAGCTACAGTTGGATAGATCTCATTGAGTACTTTTCAAAATGCATAACTTTATAGGATTTCAATTAGCCGTTTTTGAGTTACGATTAAAGAAAAAGTGCCAAATATTGACTATTTTTG